AGTATGTCCTTGTATGTCTTACAGATAGATTTTTCCGGGATTCACTTGCTGAAACTTATAGAGTCCATTCCAAGTCATAGCGCGCTTTTTAAAATTATATTTTCTCGTTGTTTTAAAATGATTTTAAAATATTACAAAGTTAAATATTATGAAATTAGTATAAAAATGTACTGAACTGAGATCTTAATTTCATTTTTTTTCTGGCGTTTTTGACCAGAGGAAAAAACGGGCGGACATTTTGATATGTTTCGGCGTTGTTTAATAGCACTGTGCGACAAAGATCCTTGAGTTTACAGCCATTTTTTGTGAATGCGTACCTATTTTTTCATTTCAGAAATATGGGAGAAGGATTGTACAAAAGAAAGCCCCCTATCCATGGCCGCGGCTCTTCCCTGCAGTCGGCCGAAGTTGGGTAGACGTCACAGGTCGACGTACACATGTGCTTCTGGCACCGAGTTACTGGTACCATGATAAGTTTGAATGAAGTTAGAATATGATCTAAACTGACAAAACCCCGCTTCTTTGCCTGGCGTCTAGGGGACGAACGATGTGCCTATGTCGGGAAGTGCGTCGTTTATCAAGATATTAAAATTGAATACATGTTGAATATAGTTTGCAAAATATGCGGCATTGTGTATGTTTGGACGTATATCTGTGGTTTAGCACGTAAGATCACGTAAGGCACCAGGAACCAAGGATTTTCTACAACCATGCTGCGTTTTAGGTCACTGACCGACCCTAGGGATTGTATCGGATATTTACCGGGGGAGGGCTGGTACGTGGAGGGGAGAGGCACAAAAATCGGGGTTGAAAGGAAGGCCATGGAAAACGCTTATGAATCCGTTGTACAATCCTATGTCTCTTGAAAATGTGGAAGGCTTCCCGGAAATGCGGGCGCACTTACAAACTGCACCGAATACTAGTATAGTATCAGTCATCACCCCTACAATTCTAGTGGTATCAGCCCAACTCCCCATAATTCCGTTCGACACTGTCGAAGCTGTCAACTTGCTTTGAGAAGAGCCTCGAAAACAAAAGGATTTTGCTGAACTAAGGCGAAGCAACGTTCGAGCTGTTAGCTATGGATGTTGTAGAGGACACAATGTGACCGAAAGCCTGTGGGTTGAGGGATCGTACAAAAACTCAACGTGTAACATGTCGTTTTGATGGAAATTTTCCGCGCACGGGCAAAAATGGTCCAATCTGTCATCTTTGCTCATCTTTGACGCCCCAAAAAATGGCGTGTAGAGATATAGAAAGAGCTTGGAAGTTTGCACGGATCTCGGGAAAATCAGAGGAAATTTGCCGGCGGAGGCGATTAAATCGTTAAGATATTAACACCCGCCCGATGCGCGGGAGACGACGACCCAAGGTGGTGTTCTGGCATGGCAGGACGGGGCGGTAAATACAGCTTGAAAGGCGGCCGACGTGACATAAAAAAGGCACTGGCTACATGTAAGTTTTGTTGACAGTACGATCACGCGTTGTTGGCCGAAAAAACTCTGGACGCTGACGTAACACATTATTACGTCTACACGTATTTGCTATTTGCAAAAGTACCGAAGTAACGGGTTTCTTTCTCAGCACTCGGTATACAGAGGTGAGGCGGCTTCCGTCCTAGATCTCCAGTGCCGAAGTTACGTCAACACTTGGTGTCCAGTGTCGGCGGCTTCAGCACTGGATCGGCAAATCAAACCTTGTCTTTAGAAAGGGTACCGAGATGCCGCCTTTGAACTCTAACACTTATATTTTCGACATCGTACCGCCCAGGAAGCAAATTACAATCGGGACGACAATGTGATCGGCAGGATTATACTGCAAGGCTCAGATCCTCACATTTTTACAGGCCTACGACAATCTCGTTTCCCGTCGGCTGAACAGACAATCACGTGACCCCTACCCTGATACTAATTATTCCGCCCCTTTACCCTCTGACCCTTCCTCCCTAACCCTCGTAAGGGTCATTCGTGGCTCAACCTTTCTCTGTACGGTCACATTTGTGACGATTGTGTGTGTTTGTCTGTGAAATAGACGGGAAACATAGTTCTCTTCCGAGCTTGCGAAGAAGAGAACTGTACTGTACGCCGCGCGGCCGACATAAGCACCAGAGGCCCAGTGCCGAAATGGTTTGAGAACTCGGCTTCCAGCGCCAAGAGTCACCGAGCACTGGAACGATCCAGTGAGGAACCCGTTACTTAGGGACTTCGGCACTGGCTATCCAGTGGTGAACGGCCTCCGAGCGCTGGCTATCCAGTGGTGAACGGCCTCCGAGCGCTGGCTATCCAGTGGTGAACGGCCTCCGAGCTCTGGCAAACGAGTGCTGAGTGGAAGTTAGCACCGAAAAACGAGTGCCGAGTCAAGATTCAGCTCTGGAATTCCAGTCCTGACAGTGTTTCAGCACTGGAACAAAGCCGTTTCTGCACTAGAATTCCAGTGCGGAGCTTTCTTCCGCACAGGGCCCCGAGTGTCGACACCACTTTTCCAGTGAGTTCCGCACTGGGCGGCCAGTGAGGAACCCGTTACTTCGGTACCCTTGCCACGTATTTGTTGCATATTTCAAGATGATTGGCAAACAGTAAAGTTCGTGTTACAGTAGTAACGTTACACTCGAGGTAGTGAGTACAAGGACCGCGGCGTACCGTATCAAATGGGTGCTGCTTTAAAGTGTTGACTATTTTATCTGTTCGCCGTATTTGTTTAGATTTTGTAACGTGTTAAAACTGTTACTTTGCAAGAAGTGAGGCTTGCCCGTTCGATCTTGACAGGACATACTAGTATGCTAGTAAAACTAGTAGTGTATGACGCGCCTCCTCAATAAATTGTAACGCTAAAACTGTTAAATGTGTAATTTTTCTTTAAAAGAGATGTCAAACAGCAAAGTGCTCCTCAACATTCAGAAAGTAACGTTCAGTGGGTCAACTACATGTAAATATAATTAAACATAATCTCGACACAATCTGACGGGAAACAAAAATTGAGTTGACGCTCGACACAATCTGACGGGAAACAAAAATTGAGTTGACGGACGGAAAAAAAGCTGACTAGAACTCTGATTATGTCGGTTTAAACCGACAGTACATTTTAATACAGTACCGAGAAACGCCACGGCTAAAAATTTTCCCTAGATCGCGAAATGATAAAAAATATTACAATCGGCGTCAAGTGTTGGTCTGCGTGGATCTTTGGTCACATTTTCGCCTAGATATGCTACACAAATAACACCGTGAACCAGTGCTTGTAAACTTGCCCCATTTTCAATGTTAACTGAGAAGTTCCATCTGTATCCAACTTATTTTAATGCCCGTATAACCTCGTACTGTAGCAGAAATTCTGGATTCTTTCTAAATTATATGTGTACGTGTATGAAAAGAATGATTTATCAACAACGGAATAGATAAACACAAAATCGTCGCCTGTGTTTTTTTAAAACATCATACTTGTTGTAACTTTGAATGTTGGCAGAGGACTAAAGGTGCCGATCTGTTAGACCAGAAGCATTGTACAGAGAACTTTCTGTCTAAGTAACAGCATGTATTTTTGTTCGTTTTTTGTATACTGTATATGTTACGGTGATGACCATCACCTTCAATTTTTATACAGTTTAGTATATAGTTATTATAAGCAAACTATAAACTGTAAAAAAATTAAGATGATGATCATCACCATAAAAAGTTAAGGTTGCTGAATTGTTTTCCGACATTACCGTCTGTGGTTATCAAGTTGTACATATTTCCATTTTTCCCAACCGGGTTATCAAGTAATAGTTGCATGCAATGGATGTAATGTTAATGTAAAACATGGCGTTATTCGTGATCATAGCAAAGAAACTTTAGATTGTGAATCTGTCAAAGCCAACTACATTCCTTTAGAGACTGTAAATATATATTGTTATGCACTTATGTTGTATAACTGTACATAACTACATTTTAGTCAAGTAATAGTTTCATGTAATGGGTGTAAAGTTGATGTACAACAAAGCGTTAGTCGTGATTATGGCAAAGCTGCTTTAGATTATGAATCTGTCAAAGCTAGCTACGACCGAAGACTGCATACGTAAATATTTATTCAAAGATATACTGAATTGAAATATTTATTTATTTATGTTATGTGTGTATTTTGTACAGAAATAAAAATGAAGTAAATATTTTGTAAGTACGGTACATGTGCGTCCAAGAATACGGAACTAGTGATATGATGTGCAAATACAAGAATACAAGAATTTAGAGCCAAAATGTGAAGTAAAGATTTATATCCAAGCAGATGCACAACTTTGGGCTTTTATACGACTTAACATGTCCTTCATTCCAAGATCCTTAAGACTGCTCTATGCTATTGACATCTAGCTCTCTATAGTACTGTTGCATTTAAGGGCTAATTTACACCATATGCCCTAGATTACATTGTGGACGTAGTGAGTAGATTACATTGTTAAGACTTCTCGTACTTGTAATCCTAGCAGAGTTTGTGTGAGCTAACCTGTAACACACGCTCATACATGTAACGTTACATGTACGTGTCTGCTGCTATCACCAGAAACATTTTGTAAATAGGTTACCTAAAATCACTTTATACCTTTATACCTGATATGACTTTTAGATTGTATTTTATCATGTATTATGAATTTTATACTCGGATTTTAAATGCGGATCTGTAAGCAATGACGCAATTCAGGTATTGATTTTATATTGTACCTGCTATGTCATTCATTGGTAATAATAAAATCTGAATCATTGCATAGATAACTCATTATATGTGCCCCCCTTCTCCCTCACTCTCTCTCTCAATTACTGGATTACATGAACAATTTATTATCCTCTTCACTAAGATCGCGACCATGATGGCACACTGCAACAGAAACAGCCGTTAAATTCAAAACACGAGACTGCTATTTAATCGAACCGTTTGCTGATAGAACGTCAGTTTACTGCAGTACGTACTGCTATGGTAGGTGTCGCTTCAGCCTCGTACCCAGAGTATTGCGCGCGTTCCCTGGGTACGAGTTACTTCCGCATTCACAAGGCAGTAAAAAAGCTATGAACAGGTGTGAACTTGCAGTTGGATAAGTTGTCCAGGTGAGGCCTTAACTTGTGATTTTTGTGACTTCTACTTCACAAAGATGATTGTAAGACCTTTATGGAGAAGATAGTGGGTCTATATTGCCGCCGGTTCCTATAATTCTGGCTAAAAGTGTAAAGTAAAAATCGTACTTCGTCGCACCTGTTGCCTTTACTCAGACCAGGTAGGTTGACTTGTTTTTCGGGACCCTTTCTGATGTAAACACACAGTCCAGAGGGCAAGAAGAGCTCCCTGCTATAAGAAAACTACAGTTTTATGTTACTATCAGACTGCTAAACGTCTAGGAAACGGATTGACGCCTGTTAGATTTGTTTTGAACTTGCGATGTTTGATAGTTTTGATACCGTTATAACTTGACAAAATGTGCACACGTAAGAACCTTATAGAAGCTTATAGTTTTCTATTTTCAGTGAATATGTTACGTTAGACTATGGAATGTAAGTTTTATCATGGCTGTACGGCTTAGATAGCTTGTAACTCTCCAAGCAGATCTTTTGGTGACGCAAGAAAGTATCAAACTGGCTTAACAAGTACTGGCAGAGAGTAATACGCCACCCGTGTAAAAAAAGTTCCGATGAAAAAAAAAGAGCATAAAACACGTCAAAAATAAGTCGCCGCCTAACCCCCATCTTGGAGGATATTGTATGGCGAGATAGCTTGGATTGTACAAATTCAGAAAGCCAGGGAAAAGGTAAAATATCGGGGGGGGGGGGTCAGGCGGATCGCTTCCATCTTGGTTACCTGGGAGACGGGGATTCCCCTGACTCAGGTACTTTCCAATGACATCAGCCGTTATGGAATGTGGCGTTCTAACTACAAAGTTAACCCCGTTTAAGAACTTTTCTCATAGTCATAGATCACGATCGGTCCTCCTACCAGTTATCGTAGACCACCCAGCCTATAGGCGAAATGTCAGGCAAGGGTACATCAGTATTTTGAAGAAGTAACAAGCAGTAGATATAGTATAAGCAATAGTAAAGCAGTAGTAAAGCCCTGAAATGTAGATGACAGATACATGTAACGTTACGGTTCAACCATGAATGTGGTCAATTGCCACTTTTTTTAGATATTTTTGTGTCATGTTTTTAAAGAATATTTGTGTGTCTATTTTCAAGCCGGGACTTGGGCTTTTGTTATATTTCAGTCCATACCATGGTATGGATGAAATATATTGTGTTCTCTGATGTTTCTTCTTCTTCTTCTTCTCCTCCTCCTGCCACACAGTCAAAGGGATTCAACTCAGCCATCATTCAGCCAAATGACTTGAAATTTGGCATGGAGGTAGAGTGGGCCAATACCCCCAGGTGTTTTTTTCATTTTTTTGATACATGCCTTTGAAAAATTTTTATGAAGGTTTTTTGGGGCATTTTCGCCAAAAAATGGATTTTTGGATCCTGAGCCCTGGTTTTACAACCAAATGATCTGACATTCGGTATAAGGGTACCTTGAACATGTGTCTACAGAATAGCAGTCACATATTTGGCATACACCACTTCCAAATGACTCATTTGGGGGACTTTAATGGCTATTTTCAGCAAAAAAAAGGGCCAAAAGTGCTATACCCGTTCCATGTTCTATCGAAAGAATGGCCGGTTCCATCCATGGAACACGTGTTCCATAGCGGGTTACCTGAGGTCACATTGCACCTAAGTGGTGAGTAATGACCCACACATTCAATTTGATGTGCCTAAGACCTTCAAAATGTATCAAATTTCATCATTGTTAGTATTTGCATACCTAGTACCTGTAATAAGATTGGTAAAGCTTTCGAGATTCAATGTGCTTGTTCTTGCATCTTTGTTCTCAATTACATAGCTCCTATATAATTCATTTATTTGAGAATCTTTGCCAGTTTTACACTGGGGTAAGTTTGGAATAGTCCACTTTTGCGTGGGAGGGAGATGGACTGAAATATGCTGTATTTGCTCCCAAGCAAATGTCGGTCTCTCTAGTTATATTTCAGTCCATATCATGGTATGGATGAAATATATTGCGTTCTCTCATGTTTCTTCTTCTCCTGCCAAACAGTCAAAGGGATTCAACTCCGCCATCATTCAGCCAAATGACTTGAAATTTGGCATGGAGGTAGAGTGGGCCAATACCCCCAGGCGTTTTTTTTTTTTCATTTTTTTGATAAATGCCTTTGAAAATTTTTTATGAAGGTATTTTGGGGCATTTTTCGAAAAAAAAATGGATTTTTGGATCCTGAGCCCTGGTATTACAACCAAATGATATGACATTCGGTATAAGGGTACCTTGAACATGTGTCTACAGAATAGCAGTCATGTATTTGGCATACACCACTTCCAAATGACTCATTTGGGGGACTTTTGATGGCTATTTTCAGCAAAAAAAGGGCCAAAAGTGCTGTACCCGTTCCATGTTCTATCTAAAGAACGGCCGGTTCCATCCATGGAACACGTGTTCCATTGCGGGTTACCTGAGGTCACATTGCACCTAAGTGGTGCGTAATGACCCACACATTCAATTTTATGTGCCTAAGACCTTCAAAATGTATCAAATCTCATCATTGTTAGTTTTTGCATACCTTAAATAAGATTAGTAAAGCTTTCGAGATTCAAAGTACTTGTTGTTGCATCTTTGTTCTCATATAGCTATTATTTAATTCATTTATTTGAGAACCTTTGCCAGTTTTGCACTGGGGTAAGTTTGGAATAGTCCACTTTTGCGTGGGACTGAAATAGATGGACTGAAATATGCTGTATTTGCTCCCAAGCAAATGTCGGCCTTTCTAGTTTGACCGTCGGATGTGTCACTGATAATGTAGGGAAAATTTGATCCCTTTGAAAAGATAGAAACGACCAACGTAAACAACCGGCTGCGGTGTCCATGGTGCCACCTATTCAGGCTGTCTGGGCTTTTGACATTCGCCAAACACGCCGGTGAAAAATGGCAGAGTGAGAGTATGAAAACAAGGACGTTTTGCATGCTAGCCTGGTGTTCAGCGCTCCACAAGATTCGCCACCCCGCCTGCAGTGCAATGTGAACCAGTCAGAATTGCCCTGAGGAAGGTGACAGACGGTCACCGAAACGGCGACTGTGAATAAATACTTGGTTGCGTAAAAGAGCCATCGTCCTTTTATTCAATCAGTCTCAGTGTCCGAGAGTTCTGAAGCCATGCTAATGTAATGTTCCAGGTAGCCATGGCCAGAGTTCCCATCTGACCCGGTGTGAGCACTAAGTCATCATGGCTGGGAGACTACAGGACAGGCAAACAGGTAAGGCTCTACCAGGATTAGATTAGTTAAAACTAAAGATATCAACTATTATGAATTTCTGATTGAAGAAAGTGTTACATTCTAAGATGTTTAATCATTGATTAAACATCTTAGAATGTAAGACTTTCTTCATTAAACTTAAATCTTGCAATAGGACAATGGGACTTAAACTGATGATTTCACAATAGTTTGATTTATTGCAAATACTGCAAACATATACAATACATATATCCGGACATAAAGCACATAATGTGCTTATAATGATCCTTTACTCATGAAACATAATCACAAAGTTGTGGTAACAAATGTGAACACAAAATGAATTGGCTGTAACATAAATGTGATAAATCAAATCATGCAGACAGTATACTACCTAGTGAAATGAAGTTGAACAATTTGAAACACATTGCTCACATAGTTAAGAAGTGCAACAGAAGCTTGGCACAGGTGGGAAGGGTGAAGGACTTACTACCACATCGGCAGAGAATAGCCGTAGTCAACGCCTTAATAATCCCACATATAGACTACTGCTGCTCCGTATGGGGAAACACAACACAGAACAAGTAGAAGTCGTAGACATCTTCCCTCCATGAAGGAGGTTGGTGTTGTTAGGGTTCTGTTTTATGTTATCGGATGTGTTCATTGTTATAGGTATGTTCAGGAGAAGATCAGGAATGGTTAAAACATGACAGCTGGGTTTAAATTTATTTGTACGTTATATGGCAATGAAGAAGGTGGGAGTTGTTTTCTGTTGAAAAGGATTAAACACAGACCACACTACCATAAAATAGGGGTGATAATGTAAAAATCCTTTAAAATAAAGCAATACAAATATACGACAACCTGCTATCATTAACAGCACTAACAGACCTATAATAAAACCAGCCAACCAACCATAGTGAAGAGGTGAGGTCAATGACCTCTCAAGCACCCCATTCAACCGGACTATATTTCCTGCAGACTCTGTCTAGGAGTAAAAATAGATTGGGCTGTCTCAGCCTGACCTGCCAGCTGGAGGTATATAAACAAAAACACTCTAGATCTGTCCCAACTTTTGGGTCAAACAGACCATCCTATTATGAAGTAGGGGTGAAAAATGAAAATCCTTTTAAATTAAGCAATAAAAATATACGACAACCTGCTAATGCACTCTAAAACGCAAAGAGACTCAACAACTACCCACATACCAAATATTATACCAAACGACCCACCAGATTTTCCAAACATTCAACACAAAAAGACCAACTTTAAACATATTGTAAATATCAAACGCTAACAGCTAGGAAGCCCAAATTTAAACCACTAAACCATGGTAATAACAACTACATGCTACCTTAATATCGCACAAACAGTCCATAACGCGCAAACAACAGAATAAAAAATTAAACTAGCAGTACCAAGGTCAATCACCAGGGGCTCAAAGTCAACCTACACAATCTCCAAGGCCCCATCCATCAATCTGCCAAATATCGTACAGTTCCTTCTCACCGATCTTCAGATATCAGACCAAACATGAAACGGAGTAAAAACAATACCCCCATTTTCATGGAGGGTAACAACATACGAAGACTACAGGTGGTCCAGAACAGGGCAGCAAGGCTAGCTCTTGGTTGTGATCGGGATGCACATGTGGACACTATGCTGAAGACATTTAGGATGGCTGACTGTCAGGGACAGAATCCAACAGAGAAGCCTTGTCACATTTAAACGTATCATGCTCACCAAACAACCAAAGGCCTTGTACGACAAAATCACATTCCAATCTGAGATCCACAAGTACAGCACACGTTCAACCAGCACAAACAAAATCAGACTACCAAAACCAAAATCAAACTCTCAGAAAAAGCGCTTTATGTACAGGATGTCACACACGTGGAATAACATAGGCAACTAGCAAAGTACTGGATTGTAAATAGTGAATTTGTGTAAAGTTTGCCATGTACTGTTAATTTTGTAATGTTTTTGTACGTTTGTAATATATGTATGTAAATATGAATGTGTAGACCACAGGAAGAATAGCCTCTTATGAGGCTAATTGTGGATCTGAATAAAACTGAAACTGAATTTGACCTATCGTACATGCATTGCTCATGCAGAGTTACAGAAGCCATCCACGAGCAAACTTAAATGGAAGGAGGAGGAACCCTTTCCGGTAAAGAAATCAAAGAACCGAATACTGAGGCTGATTCTGAAGATGGAATCAATAGAGTTAAGACCATTGTCCCCCTCCTGAGCCTCCCTGCCTCATTAACTGACAGCCCAACTTTCAAGTGTAATGTACACTTATTGGGTGGTTATTTTCTGACATTTCCGACAACTACTAAAGCACAAGGTCAAAGGCAAACTCTCTGCCTACATAATTTTTGTGAATAACTTGCTAATGTTATAATATTGATATAATAAGCACATCTAAATTTATAAACTTCAAGTGCCCGGCGGGACCCCTAGACAAACTTTTTTTTCAAACAAATTTGGTATGTATGTGTTCGTCAGTAAAAACTCTATAACATCCCATCGATCCCAGGTGTATTACTATTATCACAACAGAGATATTATCTAATATGTTCAGATTTTTGGCAAAAATCACATGCTTGCAATATTCATACAGGGTCAGCAAAGTCTTGGAAATGTTGTGCACTCTGGGCCCGACACAGTGTTGTAGAACAACTTGTCTACTTTCTATAAATGTGTTCAGTAACTCAAAAGAATGTTGTGTGTGGATGCGCTTTTAGGGCAAAAATAAGATTACAAAAATTGAACTTCTGGCTTCTTATGAACTGAAATCTGATCACTTTGTTGGGATAAGTCAATAATACAGCCAATTATCTTGTTGACATAGCATGTTCCTTGTTGGGGACCAGACTACCTGAGGAGAACAATAGGCAGTTCACGGCTTGTCCACACCTTTACCTGCTAGAGCCAGACAGTCAGCTTGGCTTGGTTTATCAGCAATAAACAACCACTGTTTCAAGGTTCCAAGTACTAGTACATTGTAAGACTAGAAAAAGACTACTTTATCAAAAATCTATTTCTTGATCCAACATACTCTGCAACAACATAACATCAAAAATTATAATTATAATTTGGTTGGCGCAAGCTTTTTAACAAGTTGATTACACTGACGCACTCACTATCCAGTTTATCGTCTGTTGTTCCCCGACGCAAAAGGGTTCTATAGAGCTGCTACAACTTACCAAAATTCGAAAGAAAGTGTGTGAAAGGTTTTACCTATGTCAAACCAATAGTCTAAACATTAGTATATATATTAGAGTACTCTACTAAATCCTGTAATGAAAATTCAGAAAAATCCAGAAAAACATGGAGGGTTATCAGACTTTTGATTATCAACAGTACCCCTGGTGTTTATGATAAATATACTCAGGTTCTCCTTTACTAAAGTCTCTGAGTGTTATAGGTTTATTCCTTGTCAGGCTATTTGCAATGAAAATGTAACATTTGACAGAACAATCGACCAGTGTGTAATGTTGAGCTCTGGGAATCACACAAATTAGAAACACTAGACATATGGAATCCTTTGTCAATTATAATACACATCTAGCACTGTTCCCAGACAGCCAAACATTTCACACTCCACAGAGGCCAGGTATCACCTCACCTGGTCCACCGGCACCCCTCTTGCAATGTTTTCACACTGGGCAGGGTCAGGGCAATTATCAAACAATAGGAGAAATCTGGAAAATTCAGGGTCAAAGGTTGTATCTATGTGTTGCTAAGGTGGGCGACGCCCAAATTGCTGGGGGTCGTGAAATGGTCTTAACTCTACTGAGGAGAATCACATGAAGAAGGTAAAAATAATTCAACAAACTGCTATAGAGCCTACGTTGCATCATAGGTTGCCATACGTTCTATGTAGTCTAGGTGTTTAATAGACTGCGAAATCAAGACATGAAACACATGCCTCAAATAAGTAAGGCTCCAGGTTCACACGATTTTTCGGTAGTAGTCACTACCTAACGTAATCTCGCTAGAGTTACGGTTACAAACACCTGACCATGGCCAGTGATTACTACCAGCAAATATGAATTTTTATCATAATGTGTTCACATCTTTTTGCATTTTGGCGCCTGGCTGTAGTAGAAAAAGCCTGACTAGAAAAATCTATGTAGATTACTTTTGCATTTGATCGAAATTTGATACCGGAACTGTCCGGAAATGACCATTTCGTGCGGAGGGGAGGTGGGAAGGAAAACCGCCATGTATACCTCGTCACAAAGCCAGGCGCAGATTGCGCACTCCCAAGTAGCTCCATCGGGAAAGAGACACTGTGGCAATGTTTGAGTCCGTACATTGCGGAGTCGAATCCCGGTATGGAACTTTTTTTCAAATTTTCTTTTTAGCACTCGCTGTTTTGCTTTTGATATTCGAAAACTAATTTTTCGAGTTTTTGAAATTCTCTTTTTTATATCCGCTGTTTTACTTTTTAACATTAAATTTGAAAAAAAAGTTGTTCTTACTTATTGTTCTTTCCGTTATATGCGCTAGTGATGCCTGAAATAAAGATATAATAACTTTCTGTCACCTGCAAAATCTCTTCTACCACACTTTTACTTTGTTTCCTTTTAAAGTATTAAGATACGTCATTTGAGACAAAAATCTTTTTAGATCAAAATTATTTACTCTACATCTCCCTAGCCTATTCATGTCTAGGGTGACAGGTATTTGTGACATATATATCTACTGTATAAAGTTATCTTCGAGCAGATGCAGGGTGGCATATGTAAGATGTACAACATGTCACAGTGATAGCGCGCCAAAATGCCACTTTTTTTAAAAATCGCTTGTTGTTGTTTTTCAGGAGAGCGCGTGTTCATTATCCATGCGGGCGAAGACAAGGCCCAGTTTGTGGAACCACTTGTCCATGCTCTTCAAGACGAAGGCCTGTCCCAACAAGACGTCTTCTACGACGGGTGGTCCATTGAAATAGGTGAAAGCATCCACGACAGGATCATGTCCACCTTGGCCAGTGAGAGTCTGGAACTCGTGGTGACGGTGTTGAGTCAAAACACGCTGAACCACAGCTGGCCCAAACTGGAGCTGGAGACGGCCCTCAGGCACAACAAGCAGCTCTTCCCCGTCTGGCTAGACGACAACCAGGACGACTTCCAGGAGTTTAACGGAATGGTCGGGAAATACTGCCCAACGTTAAAGTCCATCCGAGGGTACAAGGTGCCATGGAGCAGAGCCAGGGAAGAGGTGGGGAAAGTCGCCAGGGAGATCGTGTCAAAACTAAAGAAAAGGGACGAACCAGGTGTGTAGATCTGTGAACTCGTGCACTTTGATGTAATTGTTTATGAGATCTTTGAACTTTCCTTGTCCGTATTCGCATAATTGGTATCTGTTGATATTCCACCTGCCATGGATTATAAACATTACATGTATCAAAGTCCCATGATGTAAAGCACTGGAATTACAGAATATCCTCATTAATTATGCAAATTAAGTCATCATTTGCATAATTTGCCTCCAATAGTGTAGATCTCTGCCTAAGCTACCCACATACCAAAAATTATAAAAATACATTGTTCCTATGTGAATTTATCTGCTCTGAATGTTTCGCCAGAACTCCCCCCCCCTGCAGTTCAAGAACAAGCTGCTAAGGGTACCAAACCCACACCACTTATTAACTGACAGGAAAAGCTACGAGGAAGCCCAAAATTGACATTGACCTTTGCCTATCCAACACCTACCCACATACCAAATATCATTACAATCCATCCAAAGGTTCAAAAGTTATGCTGGCCGCAAATGGCCGGAAACACAAACACACAGACAGACAGACACACAGACAGACACGCCAAAAACAATAACTCCTTTTTCATGGAGGTAAAAACTATGTTACGAAAAACACTATGTCACGTGATAGTGTGGACAGGAAAACAGATCATCTACTGCGTAATCATCTGCGATGACCACGTGACATTGAAACAGTACCACTTTTAGTGGGGGTGTCAAAAATTATGTTTTGTATTTTTCTGTTCAAATTTCATTTATACCTTTTTAATAATGCTGTATGTACAAAAAAATTCAAAATATACAATACGTTTTTCGATAGATAAATACTACAAGTCTTAACACTACTGTTAGTGTCCTGTCCCCCGTACGGTCCAAAAGTGGGTTGTTATCTGAATAACCGCCCACGTTTTAGGTTATGGCCTGATAACCCATCACTGGACGAAAACCGACGTTTGCGGGTCGTATACTCCCGTACACACGCCCGGAAATTCCAAATATACGGACATTTGCAGGTGTGTGCGACCCCTACACTTGGCGTGTGCAGGCCTGCACACGGCCCGGATATGAACCACTCAGGTGTCCGGGCCGTGTACGGGCCTGCACACGTCATTATCAGCCCGTGTACGGGTCGTACACACCCGCACACGCCCCCCCCCTCCAATATGCCTTTTGTAATGTAAAGCAGCATCATGGCCCTTTATTCCCCCTTATTGTTTCCATAATTTTGTTTTCTTTATTAATTGTACATGGTGCTTGGGCTTTGTGAGTTTCCTTAAAGTGTTTGCATTTTGTGCGCCTCCAAAATTTCCAGTGTTCTTCGGCCGGTCTTTCAGCTCAGCTGAAACAAATTGTAGGTCTCGACCTTCGTCCTTCTGTGTCTTGCCTTTAGACTCAGCTAGTCACGGGAGCAGATTAGTCTCGTATGGGCACCAGTCGTTAGAAGCCGTCCCAAGCCCTTCTTGCCTAGTCTCCAAACACGCTAGCCACGACAGAATCCAAGAGCAACATATAATGCACCCGACCGGCTTGTGGTGCCACGGGCAGTCGCAAGTAAAAGACCGTGCGCAGGCGAGTGATAGACCGGACCTACTAAACTACCATGCGCCAAGGAACATTCTGCGTTGTGTAACAAGCCTCGCTGAGGCTGCGACCCACGGGCCGCACATCTTGTGCCACAGCACGGCCTTGAGTCGGGACACAGCGGATAGTCGGGAGGGGTGTACATCGGTCCTCTGGTCCGGTCTATAACTCTCTTGCACGCGGACTATCACTCGCCTATGCCCGCAGCCTGGCTCCCATGATCCTGGCTACCGGCTGTCCAAAGAACGAGGCATACTCTGACGTTCACAATCTTCCCAATCAACCTCAGCCTGGAGAGTAGTCTTGTCCCAGTTCGTCTTGCCAGTGTCCCACGGCGTTCTTGTCTTGAAAACTGCTCCAATTTACGTAGAATGACGCAATACCGATATGTTGATGATGAGATATGACACAATCTCTCACCATGGAGCTTTTTTACATCCGTGCTCTTACTAAGTTCCAAGCGTGTTGCTTGTATCCAGGATAGTTGTATGATAATGCACGTTCCACAACCAGGCAAGTAACGGAAATATTTCAAAAATAATGACTCGAGCGTTGATTGGCCCCCTTTTCAAACCCCAACAAAGAGAAATGCATGCAATTGGCTGGTCTGGTTTACAGGTCACTGCAGGAATAATGATACAAAGAGTTGTGAAATGTCCCGCTTGTCTATTGTGTAAAAGTTGTATGCACACTAATAAAAAACATAGGCTATAAAATTGTCTAATAGGAATGTTATCATCAACACATAATTTGCAGTTTACCTGTGTAATGTTTTCAACTACGTGTTCTTTAAGTTCCAAAAAATTAAATATAACCAAGGAAGTTAAACCTCTCTTATCAAAAAACAAACAAGGTAAATAAGACTCTGACCATGACACCACAATACACATCTGACAACAATGTAGAAGTAAATCGTGCATCTTTTGTCTCTTCCAAAAATATTATTTTTTACACTCAAGTGGGCTGATATTTGAAAAACACTAAGCCGGTCCCTCACATCACCAACGAAAACGACCATGTTTGCAAAGGTGAAATATGTCAAGATCGAAGGTTCCCAATAGCCTAGTTTGGTAAAATTCTGATCAGTAATTGTGTTTTTTTTACCACTGTAGATCCGATATAGTGCCGGTATAATTAGGCGTTAATATATGCGGGGAGACGACGGACGACACAAAGAAATCTGCTCATTGTTCATAGCAAGGGTTATAGTTACAAATATAAACTTTGGGATACACTTATAGTTATACCACATTCATAACAAGGACGTTATATCATAACCTAGTTGAAGCTCCGTGTTCATATAAAATCCTTGTTTCGAGCTTTATATATCCTTCTAGATTCTTTAGCAGAGTTTATATAATGTCCTTGGTTTATATAAGCCTGGCGTGGCCCAAAAGTCAACCAGACTGTGCCGAGGGCATCGGCCTCCAAACAACATTTATTCTATTCACCGACTTTCCCGCTCTTCTTTCACGCGGCCTTTGAAAACACATGTGCACCTCTCAATTCACGCATTTGCGAAACGATCTACATGTATGGTGACCCCTCATTGTTTGGCAGTACTTGCGACGTGTGACGTGTGCAGGCCCGTATATTCCCGTACACACGACTAATTACCAGGTGTCCGGGCGTGTCCGGAGGTATCACAGACCTGCACACGCCGTGGCTGATATTTCCTGCGCACACCCGGACACACCCGGACACGCCAAGTTTCATGGGACGTGTACAGGTCCGGAAACGTCCGGATATCTTGGTTTTCGTCTAGTGCATGGGAAATGGAGTCTTCTGATTGGTCGACGGCTACAGGCTATATGATAATCAGTATTATTAAATAAGGACGTCAGTAAATGTGCAACGTCATTCTCACAAAGGTCACCAACCATGCCTCACGCGTGCGACATCTGTACCTGTAGCAAAGAGTTCAGTCGTGCGTTTTAGGTGGGTCTCACACGGTCGCACATATTCGCAGAAAACTATGACAACTTGACAAGGATCTAACAAAGTATGGCCTGTATCTCGTATAAAATCCTCACGTAAACTTGTACCATGTGTCTGGGGCTCCATGTCTATGAAATATAACGTCCACCTCTCAAAACTAACTTCTTTTGGAATACGGACCAAATGTTGGTCATTTAACATTAATCTTTGACGATGTTTTTAGGGATAACACACCCCCAATTTAATTCTGTTCATATTTTTTTCAGATACAGATGATGTCCCTATTGAGATCCTATTGAGAGGACCGAAGATGGTAAAGTCATATAAAGACGCTTGTCACCAGGGAAAGGTCCGTGTTTACAGTACACGGGCAGATGTGGTGGGCCAGTTCAGGTCGGGGAAAACCTGTTTCATCAACAGGCTGATTGGACAACCCGTCAAGAAGGACGAACCAATCACGGACGGGATACAGATTACGTCAGATGTACAAACCAAGACATGGAAGAAGCCAAAAGGTAGCAATCCGTCGTTATGTCATTTTTGTCATGGTTAACATATTCAACAGCCTTTTACTTGTACTGGCGAGAACAACTTGGGTAGGCCCAGCTTTATAGCCCGGTTTTGGACTGTCCCATTTGTTTCTACAGTGCTTACGTCACACTAAGAAGTTTATTTTAAACTAATTTATTTCAAACTAATCAATTTGCTCTTATAAAACGTATTGATTAATTCGACCTTCTTGCAGAAGAGCCTGACGAGTTTGGTGCTGGTATGGCAGGACTGTTGATGCAGACAAAGCCAGATGCTGAAACGTCAGCAGGTGATACGCAATATCTTACTAAATATACAATGTCTGCCATTTCTTTATAAAGAGCTGATTCCCATTTTTCTTTAATCTTGACATTATTTTGATTGCTACATGATTATTAGAAGCAACCTCCAAAAATTCTCTCTCTCTCTCTCTCTCTCTCTCTCTCTCTCTCTATATATATATATATATATATATATGTGTGTGTGTGTGTGTGTGTGTGTGTGTGTGTGCGTGTGTGTGTGCGTGACTTAATGTAATGTAATGCCACCAACACAATGCAATACTCATATCCACCTGAGCGAAGTGAGGAAAGTCATGTAAAGTGTTTTTTCCAAGGGCACAAGTGGCATGTCAGGACTCGAACTCGGGACCTCTTGGTCGTTATGACCCCATATTTATTTCTCCAGCTGCAGAGGTGGGACTGAAGAAAGCACCAGTGATAATGACTGAAGAACAGTTACATGTAAAGCTGGAACGACCGGCCTTGCAAGCTGTAACTGGGAAAACCAGCGCGGACTCGGAAGAACCCGATGAGAAACCCGAAACTTCGGCGAGCTCTGTCATTCCAGACAATGTTGCAAAAAGAATGAGAAAGACAGATTTCACAGAGGACGAACTCGGAACTGCTGAACATCCACGTGTGTCTCTCTGGGATTTCGGCGGCCAGGCGACCTACTATGGGACCCACCACTGCTTCATCACCCACAGGGGAATCTACATCCTCGTAATGTCTCTACTGCAGAAACTCTCGGAAGATGTACCTGATCTGGACTACAAGGCGTCAGTGGACAACCTGAGAACTGGAGGCGGTATGTCCTAATGTTTGTCTCCATTTATCTTCCCAAGATGTCTGATGCTGCCCATTTTGATTACTCTGTGGTTTCTCACATAAGCGAGACCAAATCATCAATTCATGAACATATTGTGACTCATATACTGTCTAGATAGTAGTTTGTAGTAAGAAATGTAATAAGATAGTTTAGTTTTGTACTATTGTTGTATTACTGCCACACATTGTACCATGTACGATTGTCGAGCAATACAAGTTAATTCATTCATTCTTCAGCTATTATAAGGCAGCAATTCCAACATTGTGTCCAAGTGCACTCTATGGCTCGTCTGATTTGGTATCTTTTAGCTTAATAGTAAGTAAATAAGTGCAATTCCTATTAAATGCTTTTTTAACTTCAATTAATTAATTTCTTTCCCCAGACTACCTGGACCACTGGCTCAATTCAATACGATCTCACACTCTACAACATAGCACAAAACAACCTCCAGTCACAGGACAGCCTCTAGACACAGGACAGCCTCTAGTCACAGGACAGCCTCTAGTCACAGGACAGCCTCCAGTCACAGGACAGCCTTCAGTAACAGGACAGCCTCTAGACACAGGACAGCCTCTAGACACAGGACAGCCTCCAGTCACAGGACAGCCTCCAGTCACAGGACAGCCTCCAGTCACAGGACAGCCTCCAGTCACAGGACAGCCTCCAGTTAGAGGACAGCCTCCAGTAACAGGAAAGCCTCCAGTCACAGGACAGCCTCCAGTCACAGGACAGCCTCCAGTCACAGGACAGCCTCCAGTCACAGGACAGCCTCCAGTCACAGGACAGCCTCCAGTCACAGGACAGCCTCCAGTCACAGGACAGCCTCCAGTCACAGGAAAGCCTCCAGTCACAGGACAGCCTCCAGTCACAGGACAGCCTCTAGACACAGGACAGCCTCCAGTCACAGGACAGCCTACAGTCACAGGACAGCCTCCAGACACAGGAAAGCCTCCAGTCACAGGAAAGCCTCCAGTCACAGGAAAGCCTCCAGTCACAGGGCAGCCTACAGTCACAGGACAGCCTACAGTCACAGGACAGCCTCCAGACACAGGGCAACCTCCAGTCATAGGGCAACCTCCAGTCATAGGGCAGCCTCCAGTCATCATAGTCCTTACACACAAAGACAAGGTTACTGACAAGGTAAATGCTTGTTCATGTCAATTGTTATCATTCATCCTTTCCATCCTTTGTGTTTGCACTTAGGTTAACGTTATATGCAAAAAGGCAGGTAAAGAGAAAAATAGGTCAGAAACATTGTGGCTGAATGGGTGGAGAAACAATGTAGAGCATGACTCCAGTAACTATAATATTTTAAAACGTATTCTTCCAGGAAGACGTTGAGACGTATATGCAGGAGATTCTCAGCCATATCACCGGAAAGGCTGCAGGAAAACTCGTTATGCAAGACCAGATATTTGTAGTAGATAATACTGCCGAGGGCAACGAATTTGACGAGCTTCGTAACTTCGTCCGCCAAGTTGCAAAAGGTCTGCCCCACATGGGTGAAGAAATCCCCATCTCATGGCTACATCTCAACTCCAAGCTGAGGAAAATGAGGAAAGAGGAGGGTCCGTTTTGCAAGTTCCAAGAAGTAGCGGAACTGGCCCGAGATCCTGACATCAACATCACCGACGAGCGCACCCTCGCCTTGGTTCTCACATTCCTCCATGATCGCGGTGACATCATCTTCTTTGACGAGCCCAGTCTCCGTGATGACGTCACCCTGCAGCCACAGGTGATGATTGACGTCTTTAAGAGTATCATCACAGTTCTTGAGTACCAACAGGACCGGAAGAAGGACCAGGAAATGAAGAAGATGTGGGAGAGACTGGAACAAGAAGGAGTTCTCAGTGACAAGCTGCTGACAGAGATATGGAGAAGGAAGGATCTGGATCTGGAAAAGGAAAAAGGAGCATTTCTGCTCCGACACAAAACCTTCCTGAAGGCGCTTATGGAGAAGTACTATCTCCTTTGCAACGCCACCCATCTCAGTGACACCACTGACGAGCCCCAACACGAAGAGATATATTTCGTGCCCGCGCTCCTCAAATGCGAGAGGGACGACAACGAACTATATCCCAACAACATGTATCTTTGTCTACAGGCACTGTACATCGTATTCAGTGAGAAGTTTCTGCCCGGTGGCATGTTCAGCCGACTCCAAGCCTTGTGTGTGCGTAGGCTCGGACTGAAGAGGTCTCGCGTCTACGCAGGTTGTGCTCGTTTTCCCACGGACGATGACGGACAGGCCTTCGTCGTCACCAAGGTGAACCACTTCTTAAAGGTAGAGCTTCTGTCGTCTTCTAACGTCTTCACAGAAGGCCTGCGAGTCAGGAAGTTCCTGAGTAGCGCCCTGTTTGAGATCAAAGAGAAGTGGATCCCCTGTATCCAATACGACCTGTGCTACTCCCAGAATGAGGAGACAAGAGACAACCCTGTATTTCGGGCATTGTCATCCGAGGATGGGTCACTGAAACAGTTTTGGAGGTAAGAAGAGATTCTCGAGAAGGGGCTGCACGAGCTAGCTCCATGGAGGAGCTCTGCAGAGCTCCTCCATGGAGGTTGCTCGTTCAGCCCTCAGCTCTGCAGAGCCCCTCCATGGAGGTTGCTCGTGCAGCCCTCCGCGATACCCCCGCAGAGCTCTGCGCCAAAACAAGCCAATTCGTTGGTTGGCGTCACGGGTTCAGTTCTCTATAGAGCTCTGTAGATATCAAGTCAATTCAATGTGAGTAGTAGGCGATATACAGCCAGTACTGTGTCACAAATAAAGACTTCGTCACGCAACTCTGCGCAACACGGAGAGCTCTGCGCCCTAACAAGTCAATTCGTTGGTTGGCGTCAAGGGTTCAGTTTTCTATAGAGCTCTGTGAGTAGTAGGCCATATACAGCCAGTACTGTGTCACAAATAATCAAACCATCAAACCGGGCTATAGAACTCAGCTATTTAAGTTGATGAATTCCAAAAACCTCTGAGTAGTTGGTTTTGGTTTAAGGTCTGTTTTCTACAACCAAACATTTTCTTTCCACACCTCTCTGGCAAGATTTACAACCGCAAATCAGGCCCATTTTAATATATAAGTTTAGGGCACTACAGAAAGTACGTTGTTACAGTCATTTCTTTACATAGTAAGTTGACCTATAACTCTTTAGAAAACAAGAACACTATTCGGAGAGACAACATCGTTTCTCCATACAAAACAAACATGCTTTTTTCACAGAATTTTGTAGTGTGATCGGTCAAGCAGTGTGCCACCCATTGTCCTGTATTTTACAACCAACATCCGTCCTAATCGAGACGGCCACCCGCGCACGAAACAAGTCATGCACAGTTGTGAACTAGGTGTGAACGTGCCATAATCCAAAAGACAAAAGAGTGCAAAAACTTCAATGAGCGATTCATCATGACCAAGATTTCAAAAGAGGAAAGTGCCATCCTGATCTCATGTTGTGTCGTGTAGACGCACAGACAGTTCTGCATATCAGCCTGTATATAGAGGGCCAAATGATTAGTGGTTAGGCGAATTTACCTGTTTTGAGCGCCGCGGTGCGCAAAGAGGTGAAAGCAAAACTGAACCATGACGCCAACCAAATAATTGACTTGTTAGGGCGCAGAGCTCTCCGTGTTGCGCAGAGTTGCGTGACGAAGTCTTTATTTGTGACACAGTACTGGCTGTATATCGCCTACTACTCACAGAGCTCTATAGAAAACTGAACCCGTGACGCCAATTAACCAACGAATTGACTTGTTAGGGCGCAGAGCTCTCCGTGTTGCGCAGAGTTGCGTGACAAAGTCTTTATTTGTGACACAGTACTGGCTGTATATCGCCTACTACTCACATTGAATTGACTTGATATCTACAGAGCTCTATAGAAAACTGAACCCTTGACGCCAACCAACGAATTGACTTGTTAGGTCGCAGAGCTCTCCGTGTTGCGCAGAGTTGCGTGACGAAGTCTTTATTTGTGACACAGTACTGGCTGTATATCGCCTACTACTCACAGAGCTCTATAGAAAACTAAACCCGTGACGCCAACCAACGAATTGACTTGTTAGGGCGCAGAGCTCTCCGTGTTGCGCAGAGTTGCGTGACAAAGTCTTTATTTGTGACACAGTACTGGCTGTATATCGCCTACTACTCACATTGAATTAACTTGATATCTACAGAGCTCTATACAAAACTGAACCCGTGACG